TCCTGCTGCCCGTACTCTTACCGAGTTTGAGTGCTCTAGGATCATGGGGACAGAGTTGTGAATTTTTGCACAAACCCCGCCCACTGTGGGCGGTGTCTGGCCCTACCACTAATAAAGTGTTCTGATCCTGCTGCCCGTACTCTTACCGAGTTTGAGTGCTCTAGGAACATGGGGACATGAGTTCTGAATTTTCGGTCAAACATTTATTTCTCAAAAACCCCGCCCCCTTTGGGCGGAGTCCGGTCCTGCCACCCACTAAGAGTGTTAACATCCTGCCGCCTGTACTCCTACCAAATGTGAACGCTTTAGGTCCACGTGGACAGGAGTTATTAATTTCCGGTCAGACACACACACATACACACTCACACTCACACACAAACACCAACAGACACATTTAGCCGATTATATAAGTAGGATGTTTACAAGAGATGAAGACCCTTAACAACTAGGTCAACAAACGCGTCAACGAATCTACATAAGACTCATTCCACCACATATGAGCTTTTTTCAATACATTCAGATAGAAAACTGCCTTTTACCGTACATCTCGCTAACGTCGTCAATCTTACAAAAGTATTATATCCAGACAATATGACTCGAATGTTAAATTTTACCATTTCAATGCAGATTTCCTATGATGCCTTTCTCTGTAAAGTACGAAAAAACCCTCCACCAGAAATCCTTCGAAGCAGGGATTTGAAAACTCTTCTCTCATATTGGGGCACAATTTGGATTAGAAAAAATAGCTTTTGCATTGCATAGCACCAAAACGAACCACAAAAACAAACCCATTTGGCATATTTTGTTTGACCAGATCAAAAAAGGAAGTGCTGCAGCAAAAGCAGACAGGAACGTCAATGAGCTAAATATAGAAGGCACAGCCATTCCGATTCAATACATTGGAATCATAAAAAGCTCCGAGAGCCCCAGCTTGAGACATGAAATGCTTTTCGATAAGCCTGCGTACCTTTCAAGAGTTATTCGGAAAAACAAGTTTTCACCCTTCTACCTACCATTGAACATTGACCACCACCTTTATATTTTACTGAGAAACCGCTCTGCCAAATATAGCGAAGTCGACCACATCACGTTGCCACTGATACAACAAGTAGAAAGCAAACGCCAAGTAGGAAACTATGCCCCAGTGTGAAAACATGTTAGATTGATAAGACGCTCAAAACATATGGGCTCGAAATTTTAATGAAGTGACAGAGGGCATAACTTAAGATATGACTCAAAAAGTACACATTTCCTTGCGAATACCTGTGTCAAAGTACTCGGTGTCCGAGCAAAACCCCATATTGACTGCATTTCTGTTTCCCAATGTATGCAGAGGCATTAATTAGACCTACATTCAAAAATATTATCATCTATCCCTACAAATATAATGAGATCGAATGTGACCTACAGAAAGAAAGCAAAATACTGCAACAACCTGACAGATGGGGCTTCAATGTTGTCTGAAGAGCTCCTCAGGCCGTAATCAATGTACGAACGAAGAACTACCCGGATATCCTTAACTCCCGCTGCCTTCATTCACCTACTTTTGATCCCAGAGAGTTGATAAATAATGCATCGAGGAAGTTTATAGCAAAAATGGTCACCGCTCTAAATAAGGCACAAATAAAACAGAAATTATCAAAAAGCGTAGTTCCTACGTTTATCGCACTGTTAATAAAAACAACACGCTTTTTGAACAGAAAACTTGATAGAATTACAAGAAGAAAATAATTACTAACCGTTACGCGTATAGCCCCTTTCTCTTTCGTTGAGCATGACTACAATGTTGTCGCTAGGACGAACATATGCCCGCCTTTCTTGCCAATCCTGACCAAAAAGGGAGCCTGGTGAGGACGGTCCCGGAGTGAACTCGACGTCTCTTGGGAACTCAATCCTGTTCGACATACTACCTAATAACACTGATTTTACAACTTAAAAATTACTTGTAAAGCGCATCAAATGGATATACGGTTCCGAGAGGCACGTGTCATACAGTGAGAGTAGACAAAATAGATAATCAGCCCTTCATCTATATTCTACACATCAAGCAATTTAATGGATCCTGTTCCACTCGAAGTGGTCTGGCTTGAATTGTCCTGGTGGTGGATGATTTTCTAGGAAAGGTTTCTCGAGCTTGCCTTCGAAGTACAGCTTTCGACGTTGGTTGGCAATCGCTTCAGCACGCTGAACACAAGTTATGAAATCAGGCCAAAATCGATAAAGATATGAGGGAAGACGAAGATTGCGCACATTGCTGAAGGTTCAGAGATTAGCACTGTATTTGCTACAACAGTGATTTCTATATGAATGCAAAGGCGCTGTGCTAAATGGCAGTTCAGATGACTACTACTTAAGCACACATTCTAAACTGCTATTGAGGAGTGAAAATTAGAAAACATCAATGACCAAGCTCGTGCAGTTCACACGGATTCATAAAGTTACGAAGTTCAAAAATGGGCAACCTTTTTGTCTCATCCCTCCGGAATTTCATTATTCACTGCCACTCTCATTACTGTAATCATGTTTGACGTGTCGTTATATCCTTTGACTGCTTACTTTCATCCTTTATTACTGTGCTACACGAATTTCCCTTGCCACTAAACAAGTCGAACTTGCTTTCGGCTTCATTTTTACTTTCAGCAACACACCATCTGGAAAAATTCGACCATCACTGCTGGTTACCAAAAGAGTTTTGTCTTGTTCCGAACGAACGCAAAGCATGTTGCTTGAAAACCACTGAGAAATAATTAACGTAGCATATGGTATAGGCCCTATCTTGCTCGAACTAATCTCCCACCATTTTTCTTCACGTTACCAGTCTCTCGGGCGCCTGATGCACGCGTGCGTTTTTGAAATGCAGAGCGTTGCGATCCTCTCCTTTTGCTAATTGATTCATCAATATGCTTCCACTACGACGAAGGCATAAATTTAGAGCAAGAACTTCAATAATTACACTACTGAAATGATGCTTGGATGGATTACTCAAAACTTCTAGTTAAGTGAAATTTGACTAGGAGTTCCGACTGATCCGTATACAAATGATCTTATGACATTAGCTGATGAAGAACGCACCTTTATCTGTTTCTCGTTTGTAAGACACTCTCTGAAGTCGCGATGTTCTAAATCGCAATATTTGCGGCCTAGTTTTGCGCCGTAAGCCTCCATGCAACGGAAGAACTGCGCTTCGAAAAAGCCACATGTACGACCTGGAAACATCTATGTGAATGTGTGGGATTACATGATTATACGTTTTCAGTAGAGTCAATTTCGGCTTTATACATCTCTGCCATTAGGGGACACTTAATTCACTGTCCATCATTTACCATCTAAAACTCAAAAGAACATACACGTGTGCTTTTGGATAAAACTATTAAGGCTGCCATCCGTATTTGACTTCGTTATAAGGCAATAACGATATTTCCGCTTGTTCATATCGATGCTTACAACTTCAGGGAATACCAGTACAATGTTCATATTTCCAACGTAAAAACTTTTCGGCACAAGAGCGCATTGATTGCCTAGAGGAGTTCCAACACTTCTCACCTTGTTGCGAAAGTAGAATCGCAAATGTATCACTGACAGGAGTTTTTAAAATCGGTGTCAGTGTCTGGTAATTCTCTGGAATCAGATTACCAGTAGCCATGCTTGCGATTCAAAACCTAAAAACATGACGATTAGGCAATGATCATACAAACCTATGCTGTTCCCAATTTCCCTAATTCAAAAAGTCCCAGAAACCACGATGAGCACAGGAGAAAGTTAGATGGCATTTTTGTAGTTCACTAAGAACGTTTCACTAAGTTGTCTTGATGCTATTGCTCGACAAACGCACTTGCTAAATTTACCACATCGACCTGACCGTCGATCGGGATGCTTTGGAGACAAAAGCCGCATTATGTGAGTAAGAAATGAATGAAGCTGAGGATTTGATAAGCTGGGCTCACTATATATTTACAATTCTTCTTCACTCACACAGCTCGTAAAGCTTATCTCTTGGAAAAATATCTTGGTTTACATATCTCTTACATACAAAGTACACAAATAGAACCAAACTCTACTACATATGCTATTTCAAAAGAGAAACAAACAAAAAACACAACTAACAAACAACAACAAATCGAACCACATTGTACGGAAGATTTTTCTCCATTGTAGTAAAAAAAACAGTCTGTGAATGCACAACAACAGTAGCCACAGTAACCTTACGCCTACCTTAGGTGGGGGACGGAACTTACGTGCGTCCGAGAATGCGCGCGGCAAATTGCACGGCGAGGTGCGTGGGGATACGAACGACTCTGGCGCCTA